CTATATTCAATAAGGGTTGTGAATGCATTTAAGAAGGAATTCATTTGCTACTTGCAAAAGCATACTCTACAAATAAAATAAGCCAGAGATACAGTCAAGAATATAAATTAGGTCTGTTTGAAAGTTTGTAGGCAAAGATTCTAAAAACCAGAACTCAAACGAAATGGCAAATATAAAAAAAAAATTACAGTCTCCATAGGACACTCATGTTGAGTACCTTTTAACAAATCAATGTAGCAGATACTGAAAGACTGATGATATTCTGACATGACAAACACTAATAATTTGGATTTTCAATGTCTGTTGGTAAAGASAAACACTTTGTCTCAGGTTCATTAGAAAGAACAGGAACAAATAAATAAATATGATGTCTCTGCAGAAACAGTCAACCTTCTCCAGATCACTGATGAAAGCACAAAGTGTGGGGATTTGCAAAGAGCCACACTGCATTATTAGCAAGAATTATATTATTAGCAAGATCTGCAGATGTGGGGTGTTTTTTTTTAATATTGTTTTTCTTTTTCTATAATTTTACCAATTACGTAGTAACAGTACAGGGCTGCTAAGTCAAAAACCAGCAAAACCAAAAGATTAAGCCTAACTGGAATTCTTCCAGAGCTGACAGCCAAAAGGAATCAATACCTATAGGTGAAGTACATTACCTGGAGCATGATACTAAAAATATAACTAGCAAAGCAAATAGCATAAGCTTTTATTAGATGTGCCTATGTAAATTTTTTCCCTGGCTTTATACTTCTATTCYGTTTCAATATTAACCAGTACATAATAGACTATGAAAAGTATGTTTTCCAATTCTAAAACACTTATGGATGAATTAGTATTCCTACTGTTCTTGATGCAGCATTCATTGATCCTCCAGCCTTTCAAATCCACCATTTCAAAGTGTGGGGTGGTTTTGTTTTTCTCTGGTATTGTTACAATTCCAGTAATATCCATTCCTATTTCTCCCAGATCCTTTAGCTATGTACTGTGTAACTACAGAAATGCTACAAGATTAAAGAAAACAACAATAGTACTTTTAATGGAAGAAGGAGATTGTATCCCTATGACAACAAATAAGACAATAACAGACAGGCCAAATCCCTTCTCTAATGGAACTATTAGTGAACTGCAATTTTGAAATTCAGTGCCAAGCCAMAGAAAAAAAATTATGCCTAGCTAAATACTTGAAGAAACACCACATCTTTGTGCAAAATATTCRACACCAAGGAAACGCCTTTCTTGCTCCTCTCTTCTACTGTTGCAGTTGCAATATTTTCTACTCAGTCAGGAGGTTTCCAGCCATTGGATTCATTTCAGATAATGCAATTTACTCAGCTTTATCTGACTGCGGCATGGGGGAACAGAAGGAACTCAAAACCCCCTGCTGATTTACCTCTTAGCAAAATAACCCCTACTTACAATCTCAAATGAATACTTCCAAGAACCAAGTAACTTACCCAAGTTTCAGCATGTTGATCATGTCAAAGTTGACTACATCAAACACTTTCATTGCTTTGTCATCTCCAACTGAACAGAATAATGCCCCCTCTGAACTAACAGCAATACTCTCAATAACACCTGTGAATTAAGTTGAGACACTATTAAGAAACAGGAAAGAAAATCTTTCATTTCAGTATTACACAGGGATGAAACTAGTTTTAAACTTGTTTCCCAACCATTCCGTCACCTTTTTCACTTGTAACTCTACCAGACTTCAATGAACTATTAAAAAAAAAAATTAACAGAATAAAACTTTGTATCATATCAGTGTTTAGACTCAGGTATGTGATAAAGACCAATTTACCATACATATAAGTGAAAGATTATAATGGCAATTAGTTTAGTTTAAAATGTTGATTTTACAAAATTTAGAACATTATGATGGGATAAAGGTCATGTGCTCCTCACCTTGCAACTCKCAACTGGATGAAGACAGCAGAACCCAGACTATTATACACACAATACCCAAAATTACTCTGCAACTGAGCCTTCCACAAATCTCTCAAAATGCTGATTTTTGCATGGTAGGTTTTGTTCTCATATTTTGCTTCTGTATATAATGAGAAGCTCACAGTTAAGATCAACAACCTACTTGAATATTTCTTGTAACTCTAAAAAGTACTTTTGCTACCTATTATTAAATTTTTTTCTTACTGYAACATTCTCCATATCAAACTGGATTTTTTCCTTCAGGCATATTGTAATTTCGAATTCCATTGAGAAATTCATTTTCTATCCAGCCTATTTAAAGCTCAGCATAGTGTTGAAGAGCTTTGTGTGCTTATTAGTTCAGAAAATTGCATTAAAAAAAAGTTTTTCTTAATTGCAATCTAGCTGATAGTTACAACAACAATGGAAACTTTACAGGTACAGTAATTCCAAATTAAAACAGTCACTTTTTTCCATATTGCAAGGGTAAAAAATAAAAAGAGATTGAAGTACCCTTATTTAAAGCAACATATTTTTAAAGTTCTCTGGATTTTTTGAACCCTTTGGTGTATATTGTTCACTTACGTCCCAGATATTCTCCTCACAGGCAATGCAAAGGATGTAGGGGAYCTCTGAAAGCAGAATCCCACATGATTCATTCTCATCCTATCCCTAATGGAGCTTGGGTGCAAAATGTGAATAAAGGAAGATAGGCAGATATAATTTAATCTCTGCACTCAGAAACACAGAATCTCTCTATTTACACTCTCTCTTCAAACAACAAAGAACAAGGAAGAGCAGAAAGTGAGGACTTTTAAAGAAAGAGCGACTTCTCACCCAAGTGACTTCGGAAGTGTTTGACAAATTCAATCCCCTCTTCTATTTTTTTCCAGAATTTTACATGTCCATCATGACTGGCTGTTATGATAAAATCTGTCCTACAATTACAAAAAAAAAATAAAAACAAGAAAACAGATACACACATTATACACCTTCCCACTGGTCAGCAATTTGCACTATAATTAATGCTGTGCAGAGAATACAATTTCAAGAAATTACTGTGACAGTCTGTCTAAATGGGTATTACAACTCCTGGAAATAAACAGGTATTTTAAGTGCATTCTGGATTAACCCATGAAAAGCCACAGCCTAAATGGAAGGAACATATAACACYTTTTGAATATGAAAATGTAACTCCTATTTTAATTGTTTGATTTGAGCATGTATGTGTATGTGTGAGTGTCTGTGTCTGTGTGATCTCTGCAGCTCTGGTAAATGGTATTTCTTCAGAGGCAGTCTGATCTTACTCCTGTAYTTAGTGCACATTTTTATAAGGATTTTAAGACTTTCCTTTACTCTATACAAACAATTTTTATCTTGCTTCTAGGTAAGCCATTTAAGTTTCAAACAAACCCCTACCACCTTTCAAATAGTATCTCAGCACACTGTAACTTTTCATTATAAAACTTTGACAATGTAAAATTGTTAGCATACACAAAAATACATCCCTGACAAAGAAATACAATGGAAAACAAAAATACTTACTTAGTACATGCTACGTGTGTAATAACATCTCTGTGCATGTAACTACGTTCATACATCGAAGCTGACGGCAGATTTTCAAGATAAACATGTTCAAATTCAAGAACTACAYAGAATAAGAAGAAAAATCAGGAATTTTATTTGTTTTATAAAGGTATATCAAGCTTCTGTTCTCTTTCACTGATCCTTGTATTGCTTACTCATATTTTAGTCAAAAACATGCAGGATTTTGTGTATACAGAATTAAAGGGCTTTTAGCTTTGCATTCAGTCTCACACATTTGCCCTGGACTAAAGCCACTCAAATGCTGCTTTAGCTCATACTGTTCTTCTCTTTTAAAGCAACTGTTACCTCAGCTGTCTTAATTATTTTTTTTTTTTTTAAATCAATCACCAGTTTTTAAGTTACTGCCAGAAAACAGAGAGTCATCTGCACTTCATTCTAAAACCACATGTACCCCTGGGTTTTTTAAGAGATTTGTGGCCCCACACAGGTTTTATAGTTTAAATTCTAAGTGCTGGTACCCACTTATTTCACTGTTTAACTGGCTGACCTAAAMTAATCTGATTTTGAGTTTTGTCTCTGATTTTCAGATCCTACTTGTTAATACCTGTGTAATGGCATTTTTTCCTGAACCTGCAGGTTTATATCTGCTGAACTTTGTCAAAGTCACATTTACACTGATATCCAGAGAGGTGGGATTTGCTGCACACCTCAATACCACATGCCAAAATACAACCTAGAGAGCTCTTACCCTGAAAAGTGTCCTCCACATAAAGCATAAACCAYAGAATCATAGAACGTTAAGGCTGGAATASGCCTTAAAGACCATCTAGTTCCAAGTCCCCTGCCATGTGCAGGGACACCGCCCACTAGACCAAGTTTCTCAAAGTCTTATTCACCTTACCAGGGCTGGGGCACCGAAAAATCGCYGAGCAGCATGTGCCAGTATCTCACAATAAAGAATTTTTCCCCTATAACTAGTCGGAATTTCTCCTCTTTCAGTTTGCATGCATTACTCCTTGTGCAATCACTACAGCTCCTGTCGAATACTCACTCTCCGACTTCCCTGTAAGCCCCTTTAGATACCGGAAGGTTGCTATTAAGTTTCTATGTARCCTTCTCTTCTCCAGGCTGAATRGCCACAAATTTCTCAGCACCCTTGCCCTGTAATTCCGCACCCGAAGGGTTCCCTTCCAGCGTGGTTATTTCACACACGAGACAGTAATTCAGCATACGAGTTTCTGCCAGCCGCTTTCAGCTCATGGCCACTCCCGTCTTGAGGGGCCTGGTGGCGATCCCACCGTCCCGGACACCGCTCGGGGCAGGGCTCCGCTTCTCCCCTTACCTCTCCTCTTCTTGGCCTGCGCGGCCTCCCCCGGGAGCGGCCCGACCCAGCGCTCCTCCTCATCCTCCTCCTCGTCCGCTGCCGCCGGCTCCCCGCTGCCCGCCGCCACCTCCTGCTGCTTTCGCTTGCGCTCGGGCTCGGCGGCCGCCATGGTGCCGACGTCACGGGCGCGCCGGGCGCTGTGCGAGTGACGTGTGCCCGCGGAGCGGGCGGCGGGAAGCGGCCATGGTAGTAACGGGCGAGCGGGCGGCGGCAGCGGGCGGCGGGCGGCGGGAGGGTCCTGGGCGGGTCCCGGTGCTCGGGGGATCCCGGCGCTCCGATACCTCGGAACCGGGAGGGGGTCGCGGCCGCGGCCGCTGGAGTCGCGGGGCTGCTTTGCAGGGAGGACGCTGGCTTCCCGGCGGGGAAGGGGCGACGTTCACCCCTCGCCTGTGGGCAGGGATGTCCCGCCTCGCGTCCACCCGCCGATGTTGTGGTGCAGGAGTTGTTGTTGGGGGCGGGGGAGCTCCCTGTGTCATCGTTTTTGCGATGTTGTTTGTACCCTACCTATATTTTGCTTCCTAAGGTGCCTTCGTGACTCTCAGACCTGCTGTCACTTTCCTCTCCCCTCCCTGACCCTCTTTTCGCACTTTTTCATTTTGTGCTTGGTCACATGACACATTTCGCCTTCGTAATGTCTGTAAGTGCGTGAAGGGACAGTGCCAGGAGAATGGATTCAGGCTCTTTTCGGTGGTTCTCAGTAATGGGACAAGACGCACTGGGCAGAAACTGATGCACAAGAAATTCCATCTGAACATAAAGAAGAACTTTACGGTGCAGGTGACCGTGYACTGGAACAGAYTTCCCAAAGGGATTGTGGATCTCCGTCACTGGAGATGCTCAAGCACCATCTGGACACAATCCTGTGTCATATGCTCGAGGATGACCCTGCTGGATTAGGGAGGTTAGACAAGATGACCCACTGTGGTCCCTTCCAATCTGACCCATTCTGTGTTTTTTTTTCATAAAACTTTGGCTAGCATAGAGCCTACAGTTAGACTCACATGTATTTTTTACCTAATTATGTAGTCCTAAAACCAGGTAAGAGAGAATAACATGTTGAAACTGGAAGACATGAGTATTAGTGTCAAAAAAGCCTTCAATTTTCAAGTATGGTGTGAAAATACAAATGTAATTTAACCATACTGAAATAGGGAAAACCGCAAGSTACAAGAAAATAACATCCGAAGGTGACACTTCAGTGTGTATACTGTGTAGGGTAGTTGAGAGCACGGCATTAAGGACTGCAAGTCAGTTTGGCTTGTGTGAACCCTGTGACGTTTCCCAGTATGTTAATTTTGAAATGTGTGAAATCGACCTGGAAATTTATAGTCAACAACAATTGAGTCATTTAATCATTTTTGTGTGATGGCATATTTTCTGGCTTTCTCTTCAGAGTTTTATTTCACATAATGCTTTTATGGACATGAATTGTATCATTGCAGAGAACATGGAAAGAAATATTTTTTTATCCCACTCCCAAGACCCTTTTCAAATTTCTAAAGCATGCGGTTCTTTTTCTTTCCCTCTTTTTTTCTTCTCCCTCCTCACTATCCTCCCAGATCCTCTTTAATTGTCTCCTTTACAGTTTTTTTGTCTGAGAAAAAGCTAAGACTGCTTAATTTCTTTCTTAGTTTCTTCTGGGCAGTCTTTGCTTTAGCCATTTCAGAATTCTTAATAAATTATGTGAACTGGTTCTGTTTTATGTTATGGAGACATTCCAAGACTCTTAAGAAGGTAATGATTTTCATTTGCAAAAACTATGCTCATTAGTTCTTGTAAGATCATGGTAACTCAGATTTTCTAGTGTTCCAGGAGGACTTAGTATAGTAGTATTGGSTACCTATAAGTTCTCTAGTGTCATTCCAGCATCCAGTGAGATGTTTGATTTTCTTTCCTYGTCCACTCTGCTATGAGGTACTTGAACTTTGGAAGTACCAATTGAATATTTCACCAATTGAATATTTAAGTTGGGTTTTTTACATAGTTTTCTCTGATACTGCGTTTTTCTTTTGAAAAAGAACAAAAGATTGAGTTAGGATTTTGTGCATCATTAAGTGTAATGTAATTCTTCTTTTGATCTTTGTCTATTTTTGGTGTTTCTATTTAATCTCTGTATATGTGGTGGGCTTAGTGATCCACTAAGATATTTTTAAAGGCTTCCTGCATCTGGTACATCAAGCCTGCTGGTTGCTTTTCCTTGCAAAAAACTTTTGGCTCTTCTTATTTTTCCCCTCTTAATTGCTGATGTCATTCAGCTGTCTCTTAATTGGGATAACTAGGATGGAATTTCTGAATTTGTATGTGTTTCTTTCTGACSCAACAATTTATCAAAGTTTTTAATTTAACTTGGGTTGATTTTTCTTTTCCCTGTCAATGTGCTTTCTTTCCTTGGTTGTCTGTGTATCTTTCAGGTTCTTTCGTTTATTTTCTTTTCTTCTGTTTTTCATCTTTGGGGATGCTTTAATTTGTTAATTAAAAATATTCTGAATTCAAATGAAGGAAAAATAGATTAATCTATTTATTGACAGCAGACGTAACCACTTAAAAACTTTGCAGATATACGGAGATAAAGTGTCACGTGAGATTCTCTTATTGTTTCTATTTTAAAAGTTGTTCAAACACAAAAAACACCATTGCAGATAATCAAAGCAGTTATGAAAATTTAGGACTTTGTAATTCAATTTTGAAAGTAAATTATTAGCATCTTCTAGTTTTACTTAGTAATATAGTTAGCTGATTTTACATAATGACTGGGTGGTGTCTAGAACAGTAGGGGAGTTAACTAAAAGCTTTGGATGAAGGGAGTTTATTCTGTTAATAATTGATCTGAAGTGGCAGGTGTGATTTGGTAACCAATATCAGTGATTATAGATCTACTTGGTAACTGTTCTGTTTGCTTGTTAACAGGCTGATTGTTTATCAGAAATCACTAACGGAGCTGGTGATGTCAGTGCCAAGGAAGAACTCTTGGATGAGTGTGAAAGTATTTGGAGGCAGATGGAAGAGGTATGCTAATAAAAGTGATAGACCAGATTTATTATAAACCTTTTCTAGAATTATTTTGTTTACCATATGTTTGTACCACGCCTTCCAAAGAAACCACTTCAATAAAACCAAACCAACCAAACAACAACAACAAAGGAAAAAAGAAAGAAGGATCTTCAGAAAGATCAAAGGTAGAAGGGCTGGAAGGGGTGAGGAATTCCTTGTGGTGTCAAACTTAATTTACAGTGTGCTGATATTATGATTTAGTTAGTGTGGGACTACATGTTAAAATTATGGAAAATTAAACTATTTACTTGTGTTGTGGTAGTACCACCATACTGAGACCCTTTTCTCTTTARTCTCACAAAATATGAGATTCCAGGTCACAAGTACTTCGGGTCTTAAAGGAGAGAGAGAATAGGAGGAGAGAGAGGCATAGAAGGACAGTGATACTTGTATATGTTTATGCAACCTGACAGTTACATTGTCAGGGTTAAAATTTCTCCATATAGGGGGCAATGTGCTAAGAATAACACTTCAGGGCTGGTTATTTACAGGATTCCCAGAAAAGGTAAACTTTTATCAGTTCTGAGGGACTACTGTTCTTCCTATAAGATTCTTCTGAGTGTTAGATGAAATGTTAGTCATGTTCTAAATTACCTTTACAGAGTCTTAATTGTTTCACTCAATTTTGTATGGTGTTTACATGCTATATTATTTGCTTGAGTTCTGAGTTGTAGGTTCAAAACATTAAAATACCAGAAACTGGAGTAAAAGTATTTCCAAACTCAAAGTAGAACAGACAACTCACAATGCAATGATGTTACAGAACTGGATAAAAAAAGACTAATGTGATTTTATTTCTTGTTGATTATTCAGGTGAGTTCATTCACAAGTAAAGAGTGGCAGGGAATTCTGTGTGTAAGCTTCTGAAGTTTTGTTTGGCATTACTTCAGAGAACCTGAACTTTTGTTGACATTTTGAAATCAGAATTACTATTTTGAATTGAATTGATAATATTTTATATCTTGTATCTCATTCCCAGCATCCCCCAAATAATAGTTCCAAAAAAGAAGTCGTGTTATATTTGGAAGTTGCAAAGAACAGTAGGATTTTTATTATTTTGATTTTGCATCCTGGAAGCACTCATGTATTTCAGCAAAAGGTGTAAGCTAATAGTCATTTTATTTGCCCCTAGGTTACAGGGTTACATGAAATGTTCCAATGATTATGTGTCATCATGAGCAGTTTTTGTAGGAGAAATCCTATATAGTGTTCTGGTATCGAAACATTAACAACAGTGTTTGCAAAGTGCTGCTTAGTAATTCTGTTGCTTAATAGAATACATCCTSCTTTGTCATGGGACAGGTTAAATTGGTAACAATTAGAAAAAAAGGAAAGTTTAGCAGCTGTCTCCTATCTRTGCCTTGGATATTTGTGGTGCCGAGAATTTCAGACTGTATGTATATTTCATTGCAGTCATGGGAGCCATTTTGAACTGTATAGTATACTTCTCTAAATGATAYAAAACTAAAACTATGTATTTTAATGTGACTGCCGACTCTTTTCCCTGTTTCTCATGTTCTTCATCTGTTCAATGATTTTCCACATATGAACTTTTCCCTCATAACTTTCCTTTTTACCTTAATGATACATCTTTTTCTAGCTGCTACTTTTCTGCTTTTTGATTCATTAAGTTCCACTTTACTGTGTTGTGATTTCAAAATATTTCCTAATTTGCTCTTCTGGGGTAGGGTATGAGGGATGTGGTAGGATCCAAGTCAAAACTTTATTCCTTATTAAGAAAAAGTTTAGATTTCTAAGAATCGTGTTTTGTTTGTACAAAAAAGAAGAGTAAACAAACTCCGTGTTTTATTTCTTTTCTACCTAGTGTCAGAGCAAGCTGATGCTTCTAGGAACAGAGACACTGCAACAATCAGATGCCAAGGTAAGACAGTTGTTTGGTTTTGTAAAAATACTTAGTTTTCTGTTAAGATCGTAGAATCACAGAATGGCTTGGGTTAGAAAAAACCTTAAAGATCATCTAGTTCTAAACCCCTCTGGCATAGTCAGGAACACATTCCGTTAGATCAGGTTGTGCAAGTCCCATCCAACCTGGCTTGGAACCCTTGCCAACCTGGCATTTGCAGCTTCTCTGGGCAACTTGTTTCAGTGTCTCTGTGCTTACACAGTAAAGAATTCCTTCCTAATAGCTAATCTAAACCTGCCCTCTTTCATCTTAAGGCCATTTCCCCTTGTCCTAACACTRTGTGTTCTTGTAAACAGTCCCTCTCCTTTCTTTTAGGCCCCATTCAGGTACTGGAGAGTGCCATAAGGTCTCCTTGGAGCCTTCTCTGGGTTGAACAACCTCAGCTCTCCTTACCTGTCTTTATAGAAGGAGAGGGATCCTTTTCCAATCATCTTTGTGATTCTCCTCTGGAATTACGTGAGCAAGTTCACATCCTTCTTATGTTGGGGACCCCAGAGCTGATGCAGCACTCCAGATGGGGTTTCACCAGAGTAGAGGAGCAGAATCACCTCCCTTGACCTTCTGGCTGTGCTGTTTTTGATGCAGAGATTATGATTGGCTTTCTGGGTTGCAAGTGCATATGTCCAGCTTTTAATCCACCCGCATCCCCAAGTCTTTCTTGACAAGGCTGCTCTCAATCAGCCTGTATTGATACAGGGGGTTGCCCTGACCAAGGTATAGGACCTTATGCTTGGTCTTGTTTAACTTCAAGAGTTTTGTACTGGCCCATCTCTCAAGTCTGTCCCGGTGCCATGACTTTTCAAATATGATGAATAGTGGCTTTGCCACCTCACCTGCCAGTTGCCTCAAGGTGCATCTGCGATGGGCTTGATCCTRTGTGGCCACCAGTTGCCCTCTTAGCTGTTCACCATTCTCCTCCTCAGCTGGACAGGACAAAGGAATTATAACTGAAGCCTCACAGATCGAGATAAGGACAGGTTGTTTCCTACTAACATTGAAAAATTCAATTGATAAAAGACTATCATAGCCAGCGAAATGGGAGGAGAGAGGGTGTAACTTTGATACCTCCTTGGACTATTTCCYAATCAGTGCATATGTAATTTCTTCTTGTTAAATGTCATTGTTATGCTGTACTTCACCGCATCCTTCTGGGCACACTGTCYGTCTGTGGGATGAGCAGGTTCCCATTGTGCTGGGTGAGGACTGGTTAAAGGGCAGAGCTCAGGGGCTGCAGTGACTGGAGCTATACCTGGCTGATGCCCAGCGACCCGGGGTATTCCTCAGGGTGCAGTTCTAGGGACAGCTCTGCTCCGTGTTTATCAGTGCTCTGGGTGAAGGATTGGAATGTCCCATGAGCATGCTGGACTGTGCTGGACTTCTCCAGCAAATTGGACTGTGCTGTTTGCACTCTTGAGGGACAAGAGGCTTTGCAGTGGGATCTAGCTAGTTTAGAAAACTGGGCAATCATCAGTAGCGTGACATTTAATAAGGACAAATGATGGCTTCTGCCCCTAGCACCTAAGAGCAGTGCYGGGCACCAGGATGAAGTGGGACAGGAGTGGCTGTAGGGCAGCCCTGCAGAAAGGGATCTGAGGGTGCRGGTTGAGAGCAGCTCAGTGTGAGCCCTCAGGGGGACCGGGCAGCCCAGAGGGTAAATGGCATCCCAGGAGCCTCGAGCACGGCACTGCCAGTGACAGGAGAGGGGATTGTCCCGCTGTGTTCACTGCTGTGCAGCCTCCCTGCAGTGCTCAGCAGCTCTGGGCCCCACAATTTGAGAAGGTTGTGAGGGTCTTGGAGTACAGACGAGGAGGGAACAAAGGTGGTGAGAGGGCTGGAAGGCATGAACTGTGAGGAACTGCTGAGGACTTTGGGCTTCTCTGGTTTGGAGGGAAGGAACTGAGGGGTGACCTGATTCCTCTCTACTGCTTCCTCAGGGAAGTGGACAGAGAGGTGCTGATATCTTCTCCCTGATACCCWGTGATATTATATGTGAGAATGATTCAAAGATATGTGAGGGGGGTTACAGAGAGAACATTGGAAAACATTTCTTTACCTGTATGAATCTTCCTCTGAAGGACCTTCACAACTCAGCAAACTCTGACTGCTCATTTTCCCCTTTTGAAAGAATAATAGAAACATTTCTTGATCCCTGCAAGTGATTGTAAAATATTTTGAAGAATTAGTGTTCGATTGTAAAATGTTCTTTTGTTTTCTGCTATATCGACTTAACTCAATTTCTGTTCCATTCTACCTCATTTTATACCAATGCAACTCAACATACTTCAAGAGATACTTCTTTTCTTTGTACACAGCTTTCCTTGTTAATGATGCAATTGAAAGCTTTAACAGCAGATCATCGTCAGTGGGAAGCAAGAAATCCTGAAAGTAAGTAACTGTTTCCCTGTAAAGAATGCTTATATAAACTTCTGCAAAGTTTCTTTCATSTAGGCTGTGGGTATATGGAATGTCTGATTGTATTTTCATTCTATAACTACTTAAAAATTAAACTAAATTTAATGCTACTAAAAAAGCAGCATTTATGTTTCATTTCTTTATTATTTTTACACTTTCTAACTTGAGATTAAAAGTGAATTCCACTATAACTCAATAAAATGATTCTGTCCAAATAAATGCGTGATTCATACCACCATTCATCAGTCGGTTAAATGGAAAAGTAACTATTAGATCTCCTAACCAAATAAGAAAAGTTCGTTATGCTGTTACYCTCCATATTCTTTTCCATGCAATGTTTTTTCTTCATCTTTCATTTTATTTCCTTTTTAGAATATAACTATATTGGCAAATAATACTGTCTTCATTTTGTCTTTTAAGAAGCTGTTACATTTTTTTATCTTTGCAAGTATTGCTAATAAGCTAAGAATAATTTGCCTAGATTATTTTTAATTAATGCTTCACAAAGGTATGTTTTATTGTGATGTACTAGTTCAATCTTTGAATTACACCTTTAATGCTAAGCCCATTATACTCTAGTAAAATACCCATTTTGATTTAACAGGGGCTGGAGATTTCAGGTCAAGTTAAAGTCGTAAAAGACAATAAAATTTTATTTAAACAACACAGGAATCCAGAACACTTACTTGATTGCGAGAAGCACAAACCRCTGAGACTAGTGGTAGTTCTTGTATTTGTTAGGCATTATCAGTCAAAAGGTATGAATTCCTCAGTTCTTCAAAAATCTATTTGTAAGCACATAAGCATCAGTACTGACTAATTCCACTCTCTTGAAAGTCTGATGTGGCCAGAAATAAAACTGGAAATAATAGCATTGGAGAGCTAAGTGTGAGTAAAATAATKGTTGTTTTCTGATGTCCCATTTGGAGAATCCTAAAACAGTTAAGACTACACTATCATTAATATCCTGGTAGTCTCCTGTCAAGGACCTGTTAGCACCTGTCAATCCAGTAAAACTTCTAGTTAATCTTTAATTGATATATTGACTCATTTGAGTATTTTTATGCCAGTAGAAGCTTGGTTTTATAGTAGGCAAATGATAGTGGAAAATTATAGGAATGTGTTTTAGACAGCACATGGTGATTTCCAATGTATTGTCATTTAGCCGAATGGAAATGCCTTTTCAGATTGACGTTAGAGGCAGCTCTCCAGCTTCTTTCCAAGTCTGTGTACTTGCTGCATATCATCATCAAGTAAGAGAAGCTGAGAAAAGGTTTTTTTTTCTTTCTTATAAATAGATATTGTTGCTCTATTAAAAAGAATTCATAGTTAAGTGTTGTGAGCTTTACTCCAAAAAGTGTCAGCCTCAAAGGCTTCTGAGGTATGTAGACCAAAGGCATGTCATTGAAAGCATTTGGGACCTCCTGGTTCCTGGCTGCTGTTCAAGAATAAGCTGCTGGCTTAATGCAAATTAATTGAAAGCACTTAGTTTTTATCTGGGTAAAATACCTGAGGCTGTTAGATTTCCTTGCTATAGCATGTACACTAAACTGCAAGCTATTGGCTTAAAAATATCCTTGGCCTATTTTTATGGCTTGCTGGCTTCCTGTGTTCAACGATCCTTACTTCTTGCCAGATGATAATATTTCTTATTGGGAATCTTAATTTTGTAGTAGAGAAATTATCTATTTGTAATTAATACTTTGCAGCTGAATCTTTGCCTTTTTTGGCTGCCTTTCCAGTGGAAGAAAAAGAAGTTGCTGCTAAGAGTTTAAATAGAGTTATGGTGCTTGTGTGAAAATGAAGAGTCCACTTTGCTCACTTCTTTGACTTGGCTTCTTTCTACCTACTATTTGTTTTGAAGAGGAATTGCTTAATTCAAAACATTGTCTGATTTATCTAAGCGGAAATAGCAGAAATACTGATTTCATACAATTTATTAACAGAGCATGAATTTCAGGCTGTTGTTACTTTGGTTTCTGCTTTTAGTAGTGGCCAGTTCATTTCCTGTAATTGAGGGCCTGTCAACATTTCAATCTTAAACCTTATTTTCAGAGGTATAGCTTGGCAGCTCTACATTTTTTTTAGCACAGTATTGGCAAACAGACTTGAATTCACAATGCAAATTTCATTTTTGCAAAGCTTTTACTTTAGACTCTTTCTTTCTCGATTTCTGGTATTATTTATGTAGCTCTAGATCTGCTAAATCAGCTGAATTAAGACTTTTTTAAAAGCATTCGGCATATAAAAATAGAATTTAACTTTTACCTTTGCAAAATAAGGAATTGAAAGCAACCATATTTTAAACCATTTAAAACAGCTGTGGTCTCTGCATAATTTCTGTTTTTCTTTCCAAAATAACAGTATTCTGCCAAATATCTTTTTGTTCTATTTTAGTACATGTTTCTGTATAAACATGTGCRTAGTAGTTGCTTCTACATTCCTAGCATCTGGTAATATTTTGCTTAGTAATTGTACTGTGTATCACTAGGCAATTCTGTCTGACATTTGATTTTTGCAAGTATAGTGATACAATAGCTGAAAAAGATTCTGCTGATAGTGGATTGAGCAACTAGTAAATTTACATTGCATTTTCAGATCGGCATTGTTCCCTCACTAAATTACGGTTAATGATTTCTTTCCAAGGAAGATRGGGCCTTCTATTCTCATACTCACACAATATTGAGTGGAAAGCATAAACTCAAGACTAGGTAGCTAGAAATAAAGAAGTGTTARAAGAAAATTGTAGAAATTGATAGTAATTAATAAGAGAGGGCTTAATGGTCATGTCAACAGGAAGAGTCGGGGTAAGAATTGTATGGGTCTTCAAATATGCCAGTAAATGTGAATAAAAATACATCAATGAATTTTTCATGTTGATAGGATATTCATGTARTTAAAGAAATCATACTCTAATAATATGTCAGACCACTACCTCCCACAGCTCTTAAGTTTAATTTTGGAGGACAGTACTGAAATTTTGTGTCAAGATTTGGAAACAGTAGTTCTCTAAGTAAAAGGAATTTTACTGGAGCATTTAATGTAATTCATTTTTAATTCAGTCATTTTTTGATTTTCATCTGAGAACAAACAGTGGTTTTACAACTACTAATCTAAAACTTCATAAAATATGTTGAGGTACATTACTAAGGAAGGTACTTTTCTAAATTTATTAGTTCAACTGTATGTATTTAGGAGATGTTTAATGCTCTCATGACAGGGTTAAGGGTTTCCTTTTTCTTGAAAGAAGTCTTTTATTTAAATAATGATTTGTAAGGTTAGAGATTTTGAGCCCAAACTTGCACAGAAAATATCTCTATCATAGACAGATTTAAACCTGCTAGAATAGCTTTCATTTCTCCTGTTAATGTATTGAGGTAGTTCAAAACAGTCCTGTGTTTGTGTGCAGAAGCTCTAAGTTGACATGAATCTGAGAACTGACTGGAGTCAGTTGAATGCTGTAATATACAAAATTTCAAATTTTTATTCTGAAAAATGCATGGGTCATAAATCACTGCATTTTTTCAGAAGCATACTGGGGAAACATGTCCATGTTCTTGAACTCTACCATGCTTTCCCTTAAGTATTGCTGTTGCTTAGGGTTAGGATTATGGCCTTGCTGGGCCTTCTGTCTCCTGTATATAGCTGTTGTTGTGACATGTTTCTCAAGTTATTAAAACTACATTTTATAGTCCTGATCAGGCTTTTGTGAGGCTGTTTGACAAGGGACTGGAAGATTGGAAGAATTTGATTTTCCTCATTGATAATGTTGATTGGATGCCTTCTGCTGAAAAAATCAGGCTCAGTTGCCTTGAAGTATATAGAAATGTGATATTCACTTATTATGTACCTACACCAATGTACTTGGAGTTCAGGTGTGAAAAACGACTCAGAAGCATTAACAGTGCACTTTTTTTCAGTCTAATTTAACTTGCTGAATAATGATAATAGGTTAGCACAGCAGTTCACCACAAAATGTGGTGGTTAAACTGCTGCTAACAGCCAAACTGATTTTAGAAAGTACACACATTTCTCTCTAGCCTGGCTGCTTTTCACTAAGCARTAATCTTCAATAAATCTGTCAATTCTGTCAATAAATCTTTATCATCCAATGCAAAAAATAACCAAGTAATTTTATTTTTCAGTAATTTCTACCAATCCACATGTACTGTTAGAATTAGGAAAAGAAGAGGTAAGTTATTTTGTTTTTAAGAGATAATAAAGTTTTTGTTGGGAAAAAAAAGAAAGCTAGTATACACAATTGCTGCATTTTCCTATGACTATTCCTGGCGTGAGCTACTGCTGAGATACTGTGTAATTTTCTTTAGCCATTGTTGTTGTTTTGATGGGGCTTTTTGCATGTAGTAWAACTAGTAAAATTTCCTAGTTGTAATGAATGAAGTTTTAAACTGACTTATTGCACAAGTCAATGAGTAATTGACAATAAACAGTATTTTGCCTCTGGATGCACCATCTAATCACAGTAGCTCAACAAACTCATCTGCATGCAACGAAAATCATGTGATAATCAACATCTCTGCTACATTAGTGCTCCAGGGCCTCACTCAGGATTGGAGTCCCACTGTGCTGGRTGCCACAAGGAGACACAAATCTCATGCCAAGGAGAGTGATGACCATGCCTTGCAAACATTTAGCCATCATCTTTAACATCATACAACAGGGCTCGTTGCTAGGGTGGAAGCCTACACACTACTTTTCAAGATTACTTTCATTTAGCATTGCACAAGTGCTTGGGCAAGAAGAAGCACTCAGAACTGTGTATTTCAGGATGATCCGTGGCTGAATTTTAATTGCTAAGTGGAATTTGTCACAGAATGTCTGCATTTGGAAGGGACCTCTGGAGACAGAATCATAGAATAGTTTAGGTTGAAAAAGACCTCTAAAATCATTGAGTCCCACCATCCAAATCCACCACTAAACCCTGCCCTTAAGTGCCTCACAGGATGTGTCAAGGTGGTTTTTGAATATCTTCGAAGAAGGAGACTCCACAGCCTCTCTGGGAGCCTGTTCCAGTGCTCAGTCACCTTCCAGTAAAGCAGTTTTTCCTAATTTTTAGATGGAACTTATATTTCAGTTTGTGCCAGTTGCCCCTTATCCTATCAGTTGGCACCACTGAAAAGAGTCTGACCCTGTCCTCTGACAGCAGCCTTTAAGATACTTGAGTGTATTTTTTTTTAAAGTTATAATACATTGCATTTYATATTTAATAAAAAATTATGTAATATTATCTGTTACGTGGAAGWGTCAGTTATCTTAGACAGTGAGTTTTAGGGCAATAATTTGTTGAGTTCCTCCATTGGAAGAAAGAGCAAATCAATAGTGTTACACTATATTGATGGAACATAGGAATGCTATGTGACTTGAAAATATTCCTGTGTCTAATGCCTTCTAGTATCAGGGAACAGGGACCCCGACTGCTGTTAAGAGTCACAATCAAAAAGTTGTTAGGTTACACACTTTGATTTGCCTGTATAGCTATGGCATGTTGGTTTGATATTTGAGGATTCCATTTTTTTTYAGATTTACCTAATGGAGCATGTTTTCTTTAGTAGCATATTTTCAGAGTTTGTGTTTCTTTGAACTAAATTCTCAAGTGCTCTTATTTTGTGTGGAAGCAGAAAAAAATACATCTAAATCATAGGTTATATTAGAAAAAGCATAAACTATTATAAACATGATTTTATAGGAATCTCTGGTGCACTAACAGGAGACCTCATCAATTTATACAAGTATCTGAAGAGGATGGACCCAGGCTCTTCTCAGTGATTCCGAGCAATAGCTCAGGAGGCAGTGGGMTGAGCAAGAACGTGAGGAAGAGCTTCTTCACTGTGCAGTGGAACAGTTTGCCCAGAGAGGGTGTAGAGTCTCCCTCTCTGGACTTACTCAAGAACTGTCTGGATGCAACCTGTGCCATGTGCTCTGGGGTGACAGGTACCTACCCTGCTTGAGTAGGGAGGTTGGACCAGATGACACACTGTGGTCCCTCAAAATGGTTAAGGAAACTTTCCCCATTTTGCAATCCAGGAGCCATTGTGTCAGTCTCTAAGCCCATTTGTAGCTACACACCCCATGCTCAATGCAGCCGAATCAGGTTTCCTTACCGGCTCAGTCCCAGGTTTCATTCTTCCTTGAGTCTGGCACAGATCCACAGAACGGTATAATAAMAAAATGACAGCTTGAACTGGTTGCCTTTGTGGAGGGATCCTGAACCCTGGGCTTTTATACCCTCACAGGAGGAAAGTTCAGGTGCCATCAGCTCCTGTGTGTCTCAGTGTCCCCTCACCAGGCAGGGCCACAGGTCCCAGGGCCCCTCGTTCTGCAGAATTGGCAATTCAGGGCCTCTTGTCTGGGGCTCCCACCACCAGAGCTGARCCTGCAGTCACACTGAGCTGCACCCTGTGAGCCACCTGTGCTCAATGTGTTTCTCAACACAATCTTACCATTCTGTGATTCTGTAATGAAAGACCCAACCCACTGAGAGTTCACTGTTGCCTAGATTCAGCAATGCCTATAGCTTCTGACTGCAGTAGCATATTTCCTGTCCCAAATAAATCCATAGCACTGAAGATCATTTAAGTCATGGATGCCCTTAGTCTTTCTTTGCAGCATCTTCATTTTCTGTACATTTTATGTCAGTGCAATTAGCATGGATTCATTCTTGCAGCAACTGCAATAATTTAGACAATGGAACACTGGTGCTGTAGACATTTTCTCCTCAGTCATTCATCAGCTGAGCAGTTAATGTGTTTGCTCCATAATTTGCTTCAGATRAAATTAAGTATTTTGTTAAGCTCTGTAAGCTTCAAGAAGACATTAATGAGCAACTGGTCAAAGTGACATGTTTATAGCTCCTTCATTTTAAACTGTATTTTAATATTTATAAAGAAATTGTGGATGGTTTTGTCCCTCTTTATCAGATTTACAGATGTAGCCTTATATAGAACAAATATTTCAGACTGGGCTACCTACAAGCAGTAGTTTATCTTTTTTTTTTTTTTTTAATAGTTGCAGAAAGTAAAAAATGATCTTGAAATGTTGCTGTCAACAGTTCGGTCAAAGAATAAACAACTGGACAAAGATCTGAAAAGGTAATACAGTAATTTGGATTTAGGAATGCTGTAAGTTTGTGGTTTTTGATTGTTTTTTTTAACTGCCCTGGGAAACTATTTATCTGTTGTGCCGTTTCCTGCTTTTCTTGTTTCAAAGAGAGCAGCAGTGGTGTGAGGAACAGGAGCAGCTGCTAGATGCTCTTAAGAAAGTTGAGGAAAAGACAAAAACTCAAGTTGAACAACTTTCCACAAAAAGGTATTTCTACATTTTTGAGTTAAAATTGTAGAATTTAAATATCGGAGGAGCAAATGAGCAAACAAACTCAAAAAAAACAAAACAAACTTGTTTTGTTTAATATATCAAATAATTACTCAGTAATCCATATTTGAAACATGGAAATAATGATACTATATCCTGTGATTAAATATGTTGAATTTATAACAATAGATAATAAGGGGGTTTTTTTTACTTATGAAGAACTTTTTTAATTACTTTATTTGATTCCATGTTCTGTTGCTATGTTTCTACTATTAGTTTGAAAGGTAAAGGATTTGATGAACTGGAAAATAAAATGTTGAAATTGAAGACCTATAAGAACGAACTCTTGAGTGCTTTGGGTGAATTCCTGGATGAACATTTTCCTCCTCCAGAGAGAGGTGAAAATASTAAAAAAAAGGTAAAACTTTCCTTTACCTGCTAAATTTGAAATGTTCAATTTATATTTAATTAGATGCAATATCTGTTTAAAGTCACTAGCATTGAATATGCAGTTGTATTTTGAAATAAGCAGAGTGCTCACAGCTTAAAATAAAACTCTAAGTTTAGGTTATGTTTTTTGGGTTGTTTTATATTACTTAAGGCTGCTTCCAGCTGGATATTTTCTTTTCTTAATAGATATATCCTTTACCCAATGAGGTGCATAGCAATGTATTGTGTTTCTTACTGAACTGCAAGCTATGCCAAATTTGGGAATGGTGAGGGGTTCAGTCCAAATTGACTCATTTTCTTTTTTACTTCACTGGGCGAGTGGATTCCTATTTTCCTTGGCAAAGCAAATTTTAATTGTCTAACAATGTTTTTGGAACAATAAGGAAAAATGTTTATAATTACAGAGTAGTTTGGAATGTTAACCATCAGATTTTGTTCAGACAAACTGGGTCAAAAATTATCTTAAAACTTAGGGAAAATAGGCAGCCAGGGAGTATTTTGCATAATAAATTCAAAACGTGCAATAAAAATAGAACTATTACTGTTACTATTKGATAGAAACAAAAAAGCTATGAAAAAAGGCAGGACTTGATTTTGATTTCAGACACACTTAACATGGCAGAAGTATCTTTAATCGAGTTCCCTGTTATTTCAGATAACCTCATAATATTATCACTTAGGTTAATTTTAGAACAAATAAATTTTTCTACTAGTGTTGCTACTGTGTTTTTTTCTTCTAGTGCCTCAGTACTCTGGTTAGAAACTGTCTCATGGCTTCCAGTCTAAATTTAACCACGTCTAATACGGATCCACTGGTATACTTACACCAGAATTTTCCTTAGAATAGCTTTGTGTCTTTTTTGTGTTTATTCCTCCTGATACATTTATAGACAGCATTCTCATACCCTCTCTTTATGTGGTTTGAATAAGCAATGGTAATTAATTAATTAATGCTTGTGGTAATTGAATTAGCAATGCTTTTTTGTTCTCCTGAAAGATAGTATTTTTCAATTCCACAGCTTATCTTAGTAATATCMATTTTCTATATTTATTTTCACTTGGTTTCATCTCTTTTTGCAACCTGCTAGGAAACAATATTATAAACAAAACTACTAGGTCACACCCATTACCAAAATAGCTAATTATATCCTTGTATTTTTCTGTCTGTAATTTGCAAGTAATGAATCCTGAACTTCTAATTTAAAAAAAAAAATCTTGGTTTTGCACGTAAGTACATATTTTGCACATAAMAATACCAAAGGGAGATGACAAGATATGATGTCCATTTTCAAATATTATTCTAACATCTTACTTTGTTGAATCTGATTTTTTCTGTATTCCAATGCCTTCATTTCCTGCTGTTAGTAAATATGACAGATTTTGTTCTCAGTCTCTCCAATTTAGAAACAGTGTTATGTGGTACAGTGTCAAATGCTTTGCACAAGTTCAGGTAGATGACATCAGTTAATCTTCCCTTTTCCACAAACACTGTAACTGCTGTAGAAGGCCTCTAAATTTTCTGTGTGCAATTGATCTTTARTGAAGCCGTGTTGGCTGTCACCAATCACTTAATCAAAAGAAATACTTAGATTAATTTAAAATTTTATTTATGCATTTCCAGAACTCTTAAATACGGTTTGTTTTCTGACAAGTCTTTTTCCTTTTTTTTCACTCTTTGCAAATTCGTAACTTTTCTGTATCTTTTGACTCACTTGGATCACTTGGCTTAACTACAGGTCCTCTGTAATCTGCATCTAAGTGATTAACTGTGAAGGCAGGACAGCCAGCCACTTTTGCMTGTGTTGTTTTATTGAGTGTCAGAAATACAGATTGTAATCATTGGGAATGAAATTTACTGCTGTGTTGATTCAGGAAAATACATTATTCACTTTTGTTATCAGCTTGGTTCAACAGTCTGGCAGCACCGAACTCTTAACTCTGTGCATCACCAATTTTGCTTCACTAGTAGAAGCATCTTGTGTTCGCAGTAATTCTGTGTGAGAGCAAATGTGTGGGGCTGATGTCTGTAGGACACTGCTGCAGTATCATCTGAACTGTTCCAAGCCTCACTGGTCTGGTTCCACCCTCCTTTCACCTGGCACATGCATCTGGCATTGGGAGTGRGAGTGGAGACTGGGTCACACCAGCTCAGGTTGACTTCCACTGCCATGGCCCAACACCTTTAACAGAGGTAGTGACTGCAGTAACAGTTACCTTGCATTTTAAATCTGGAATAAAAAAGATTTCCTTTTTCAAGATAAGAATATGGAGTCAGGGATTTAGGAATAGTCTTTATGCAAATCTGTCTGATTGGAAGGGTGAAGAAGATGCCTTTCAGGCTAAATAGTTAAATGCTGAGCATCCTGTTTAAAGTGACTTAATAAGCATTAATTGATTGGAGGTACTTGTTGTATTAGTAATGATTTTGACCAGGGAAATACAACAGCAGAGGCTGTAAAGTATCTTCATGTTTTTTCTAAGGAACTTTTGCAAATAGTTCGGATAGATTCTATTTCCTCAACTGATTATCAACATAAAGGCASATAGAGCTTATTGGACCATAGCTCCAGTTTGCAGAGTTTCCATGGAGCGTGCTCTCAGTGGAAACTAAAATTTCTGACTCTCTGCAGGTGAGAATATTACAAACTGTGACTGGAAAAAAGGTGACAGAACTTGCCTTTCACAAATTCTTCTTTCTTGCTTGTATTCTTCCTCTGTTCCAGAAGTGGAGGTTGTTTAAGGTGCTGCACACCTCTTAATACCTTAGGACTTACATTGACATACTCAACRGTAATGCTGAGAAAGCAGTGCAGATGCCAGTGGTGTATTAACTCCTCTATTTTGTTGAAATCAAAATAAGGGGAAAAAGAATAAGATGGAAAAATCAAATATTCAGGTTTACCATGCAACCATACAAGCAGATCCAGTCACGTTGCTGCCAAAGAAATCTCTATCACATTATAGATTAATGTCTTGATTTGTTTGCTACAAAGGAAAACAAGTAATTATAAAGGCAATTCGATTATTGCCTTTTTTTTCCACCAAAATTTTCAATTATTCTATTTTTTAATCTTGGTCAATTTTTTCTAGTTGAATTCAAAGCAAATAAGTATTCATTGTCCAATAATGAAAAAATATTAAGGCACTATGAAGTCTGGAGTTGTGTCAAATTTGTATTGTAAACATTTGTCTAAAGCTCATGAAAAATACTTTTCGCCTAACAAAGCTTGTTCATAAAAGGTTCTGTACTACATTACAAATGAGATGTACTTGGTCTTATTTAAATATAAATGCAGGTAGAAACATTATGATCACTTTAGTATCTCTTAATAATTAATTCTAAAAATGTTACATTTGAAGCATGGGATTTAAATCTAAATCTAAGTTACTAAATCTAAGTAAAATTTGTCATCTGTTGTGTATTATGCAATCAAAYAATTGTGTAATTATTTTACTTGTAAATTAACATTTTTCTTGACTCATTTGGGGTTTTGTTAATTTGGCTGGGGCTTTGTTATCTTTCCAGAACTCTTCTGCACAGCCAGCTGTAAAACTGATAACATTGCAAGAAATTTTGGAGGTAAGATGCTTTTACTATGTAGAGATTTGAAGAATTTTTAGATACTCAGATGAAATAATGATGATGATGATGTATCTTTAAATACTCAGATATGATAATAATGAAGTGTTTATTATTAAGATAAATTGTGGTGATGATAATAATAATAAAGTATTTATTATAAAGATAAATAATAATATATGACGTTTAGTTAAGATATGTTAATCTAGAATGCTTAAGAATTTTGTGTCTTCAAAGAGACTGCAGAGACCTCATAGCAGCCTTCCAGTACTAAAAAGGGGCTTATAAAAAGAAGGAGAGCAACATTTTTTCGTAGGGGAATAGTTTTAAATTAAAAGAAGTGAGATTTAGATTAGCTGTGGAGAAGAAATTCTTTACTGTGAGGGTGGTGAGGCACTGGCACAGGTTGCTCACTGAGAACCTGTGGATGCCCCATTCCTGGAAGGGCCAGGTTGGATGGGGCTTTGAGCATCCTGGTCCAGTAGAAGGTGTCCCTGCCCATGGCTGGGGCTGGAACCGGATGGTCTTCCAAGGTACATTCCAACCAAAACCATAGAATCTAAGTTTTAATTCCTATCTAGTTAAACCCCAAATTTTAACAAATGGTGTGGCACTAATATTTAACTTAGGCTGGAAAATGGTTGTGTCTTATTTCTTGATACTATAATGTTTAGTGCAAAGAAGTTTTATACACCTTAGCGACTCATGTTAGGAAAGATAAATACTATGTTTAACAAAAATATTGGTCCATTTCTTGCTCTATTTCATACTTGAAAAATATTTTATACTTAAAAATAGAAAATTATTTTTGAAATATGCATAGCAGTTACAGAAGGACTAATTAATATGTAGCCTCAGAAGGAACAACAGTCTTATGTATTTTGCTCCTTTAACATTAATCTTAYGTTAATACATAAGACATAACAGTCTTATGTATTAACTGGATTATTAACTAAGGAAATAAAATAATCTGAATATGTTCATTATTCCCCATGGGCAATATCATGAAAGCATGAACACGGTCTCCATGATCTGAAAAAGAATGACAAAAGTGATTTTGTTTTTGACTCCGTTAACTAATTCTGTATTTAGATAAGGAATTTAGTCTATACTTATTCTAGATAAAAGGAGGAATCTGGTTTTAATTTTTACATAGCAGAAAAATTTTATTGAGCTATTTGGAAGTCCTTTGCTTTACTTCTACTTTGAACAGGTCTTGTATTTCTTCTGTAGTCCTTTATGTCTTATATTGCCTACATCACAGTRATTTTTATAATTTGCTTAAAGAAGATAAAAACCTAACTATTTTGGTAATTTCCTAAATCTTATCCTTTTGGTCTTCCAGATGCTGATGAACAAATTACTTACCACACCACATGAACCTTACATAACAATCAATGAGTCATTTTGGCCACCTTATATTGAGCTGCTGCTGCGAACTGGAATGGCCCTGAGACATCAAGAAGATCCAAACAGAATACGCCTTGAAGCTTTTCACAAGTAGTGTGACCTACACGTGTACTTGAAAACAAACCAACACGAGTGCTCTTAATTCAGGGCTAGGACATACTTAGGTTTCATAATAAGCTTTCTTAGTATCAGCCGTCATGATTATTGGATGATTTTCTTTATCTTCATGCTATTTTATGCACTTCAATAAAAATGTGGGGGAAAAAAAGAAGATTCTATTTTACCTGCTTACAGTTGGCCTTCAGTTTTATATCAAAATTTGCTTAGTATAAGATTTTTTAAACGTCTTTTATAAGAAGTTTTAATAATGTAATAGACAGAGATGTTTAACAATTCTTTTTAAATTAAAAATCATACTTTATACATTACCTGTGTAGTTTAGATTCTTTAGATTGCTTGAAGTCTTCTCAATTTCCTGTAATATTTTCTTGTACTCTGTGAAGTCAAAATTTTGAATAACACCACTCCTGCATGTAGCCTTGCAGACATTTGGAACTAACAGAGAGATATGTTCTCGAAGATGTGTTATGCCTTGTTTGTTTTTCAGAGCCTTTGCAAACAAATTTATTGGCTTCAAGATAAACACTTAGGAATGTTGACACATCTTTCTGTGCAAAGTGCAGCAGATGTTGAGTCTGTGCCTTTCACTGCACACTTACCAAATGACCTGTATTGTGTTAGGCTATATTGTGCAACAGTATCTGTCTTCACTTTTTCACATGTAGTTTATCAAGGTGCGTAATGGGTTTCTGTTCTGTTGATCTCTACAGCTTCTAAATTTTGTTAGTTGAGAGTTACCTTCTTACTCAATGCTGGTGTTCTTTGTAATCCCAATCCTTTCTGTAGCCATTTTATTGTACTGAGTGCAAAAGTTCTACTCTTGTGTATTTGTAGTGACTAAAACTTTGGAAAATAAAGTTGATTTTTTTATTAAGCAGATTGCAGTTTTATTGAGGTAGGAGCTTTGTGATTTTTAGTTGATAAAAAAATAAAGACTTGTATACTGTCATAGAATGTTTTTATGTGGTGGTTTTATTTTTATGTGATGTGTCATAGAATGTTCTTGTGGTGGTTTATGTGGTGGTTTTTAGAATRGTGTTTATATGATTTGATGTGATGACTTGTAAAGTTGGTGAAGGGACATATAGGAGAGGAAAGGGGAACCAATGTAATGTAAGTTCSGGTATAATCACCTTTTTTAGACCAATTAATTGGTAAGCAAAAAAGTCATTAATCTTAAGTAGTTCCTTTCACCCTCACAACTGGTGATTAGGCATGAGTATAGACTGCAGTGTGTGSTGTTCTGCATGAACTTTAACTTCTTTTTGCATCATACTGCTTGTATAACTGCCCTCCTGTTGTCGTTTAACCTCCCTTACTCAGCTACGAGCTCTGGTGTCTGAATAATCTATACACAATTTACCTTGCAGTATTTTCAACTAAGAATTCAAATAGCTACATTTTTTTGCTTTGATTTATTGCCTTGTCTCTTTAGCGTTTTTTTCTTCATTTGTGCTTAAATGCTTTGTATTCTCCTATCCTTTACATTATTACTAATGCTGCTTAAACACTTCATTGACCTTGGATGACTGCTTCTGCCGTGTCTTTGATAAGTAGAAGAAAAAATGTTTAAGCAGTCTCTTGTTTAAAAAGGAAAATACCAACCCATACCACCTGCATCCCAAAACCAAACCAAAGCACTGAGAAGGAGATGGGATTATCTAAAGTGYTCTAAAAGAAGATGCAGTATTCATTATTTTTCATACCAAAATCAAATCTCATCCWAGTAAAATACCAGAACAAATTTAAATGAAAGTACCTCACATAAAGATTTACATTAAATTATGGAACCCAGTGCTATAAAATATGTTGTAAGCTTACATACAAAYTTCAAAAAAAGCTTACAGAATTGAGATTTGTGAGTGGTTATTAAAGAAAATTTGACAGTCAGCTGTTTCAGAAATCTCTATCCTACTAATTGTTGAACCCTGAGGAGATACATAGATATTCCTTGATATTCCTTCCTGCAGCTCCCCAGTGTCTTCTGCATTCTCAGAAGCCTCTGCTTAGGCTTTGGATATGCTCAGAAACCAAAGATTCAATGGAGAGCTTTTTCCTTAGGATTGATTGAATCACTACGGCAGAAAAAAAAAAGCTGTAGAACGAGATAATCCATTTTCTCTCATGGCCTAAAATGCACTGCCAGTTTTTAGAAGCTGGTTCAGAYTGAAACAGAGCTAGTTGAAAGCTGTAGCTTCTAGAAAAATCCTGACAAGTAGATTGAAGCAAATCAACACAGTGATGAAAAACAGATCTCCCTTTATGAAAAAAGCTGGGAGTAAGATCTTTCATCAGTACTTTCAACAATCAGGAAGGTTGGGGATTATGTCAGAAGAGTAGGGCAATTTCTCCATTTTTGCTCTCCATACACGTAAATAACAGTTGTTTGGAATTAGCACCTCAAATACGTTAATATTAAATGCTAATATATATATTAAATACTAATGAAATGCTAATATTGGGGCTCTATGTGCATTCTATTAAACAAGGATTTATTTAGCTTACTGTCGATTTTTAATTCTACAAAGGTAATACCAAAAAGAGCTGGGTTGGTAAACAAACATGAGAGCTACCAAGCCTGAGTAAGACAAAAAACTGAATTGTGAGTTGGCAGTGTGCCCTTGTGGCCAAGAAAGTCAATGGTATCCTGGGTGCCATAAAGAAGAACAGTGCCAGCAGGTTGATGATCATCCTGCTACTCAGCCTGTGCATTTGCTTCTTTCACTGTAGCTTGACTAGCAGTTCCCTATGCAGCCATGCCTATCTAAAGAGAATCAGGCTTCTTGGTAAGCCTAGATCTTGTTTTATAGCCCGTGGTGATCAAGACAGATGTCACCACAAGCTGCAAAAGGATAGATTCCTTTGATTTAACTCATTGCCTCATAAGGAAGTATTGTACTTGGCTGGGTSTAGTTGATGAGACCAATGTCTCTGGAATACTGACGCTGCTTAAAACCTCTCAAGCCCTGCCTCTGCGCCAGGTAAGCAGGYAGCTTCTCCATCTAACACATATATTGTCCCAGAATGGAGCTGGTGGGTTTAATATGGTTAAGAATGTCAGTCACAACTGTGTCAGCATCCAGGGTCTAATTCATRGATTGGCAGTCACCTGCTGAATCAGAGGCCGAGCCTTGGAGATTGGTGCTTTACTTTGTGACTGTTACAGCAGAAAATCTCACCCCAAGGGAGCATTATTTGCCATTCAGATTTGGTGTGATACAGACATGCAGATTGGCATTTACATGAAGAGGAAAAAAATGACTCATAGAGAAGCGATTCTTCTGGGCTGTGCATGCTGTGCAGAGCCCCTGACTCTTCTCGCTTTTCTGGAATACATCAGTACTGCTAATTTCATATTGTGAGTAAATTGATCTAGCAACATGAACACCTTCTTGCATGTAGTATTACACGGTTACAAGGACGAACAAGCCATGCCTGCCTTCACAAACTCAACTCTGTGTTGGGACAAGCTTACTGACATGATTTCCTAGTGAAATAAATTGTTCTGCAGATTTTCAACTTTTAGTAGTGGTATTAAATAAAACTGCTACATTTATCTGCATTTTTCAGCATTAAAAGAATCTGTGATTTTGAAAATTTGGTATAAAAAATTCTGGAGGTAAAGTTTGGCAGAAATGCACATGAGGTTTGTTTGTGATCTTGAGAGAGTGAAGGTGATGCTAATGAAGACTGCTATAGCTAATTACAGGCATATAATATAACCTTGGAAAAATAAGCCCATCTCAAATCCTTGAATGCTCATATTAGTATTTTGGTACAATGACACTATATTTTCTGTATCTTAGATTGTATTTGATGCTTTTTAAAACTAGAAAAATGCAAACAAAAAGCTTGTAGTAGCAGTCTTGTGCCTATTTTAAAATAGTATTTTATACTTATATATTCACAAAATATAGCCAGTTCATCTGTTTTCTAACAGAAACAGTTTTTTTCAGTGTTTTGGTTCGATTTACTAGGTTTAGTCTGGGGTGGTTTTTTGTGGTTTGTCTTATTTTTTTGGTGTGTTTTGGTGTGGGGTTTTTTGGCGGTTTTTTTTTGGGGGGGGGTCTTTTTTGTTTTGTTTTTGTTCTGTTTTTATTTTGTTTGGTTGTTTGCTGTTTTGGGGAGGTTGGGTTTTTGTTTCAGTTTTTTTGTTATTTTTTTGGGGGCATTTGTTTTGTTCTTGTTGCATTTTTACTTTACATACTTATTTATTTACTTTACTTCAAACTATTTTAGCACCAAAAAAWTGGATCTTTTGGTTCTAAAATCTTTGCCATACTTATACTTATTTCCAAACATGACATTCCAATAATTAAGACAATGAGACTCTTTATTTTGTGCGTATTCTCAGGTAATGCACTRTGTTTTAGTAGATTGTTTCCAGTTTAAACAATGAGCATTCCAAGATACCTCAGCAGTGCCAAACTACTCATAATTATAATCAGTCATGGTTACAAGAAGTTCTTTATTCTGCAAACGTTTTAAATTCTGTACTTTAGTAAATTTATTGTGTCAAATGAAACATAATCTTGCCTTCTCTATTTGGCAACAGATGCTGCTTGCAGGTGCTTGCAAATGAGCTTTTGATTATAGCTAGCCAAGACAAATGTAATTTCGGTGGTATTCCTATTCTAGTTTCAATTTAGGTTGCATTAAATGAGTTGCTGGAGATTCTTTCAGGCAAAAAGACTTAAAATACAAATTAAACTAGATTGGTGTTGCAGTTTACTTGACAAATAACTAATATTTTAATTTTCCTGCCAATTGTTTGCTCAAGTTTCCTTAAGATTATAAATTGGATGTTTTTTACACTCTTTGATAGAACACTGGGCAATTTTGATTGGTGACGAGGCAAGCAATTATTCTTGGTGACATGATCCAAATAGAACAATAATTATTCACAGAAACAAATTACAGTGCTTCAAGTTGATATGTGTTATAAACATTCATCTTTGCTACTTCTGTTGCTTTTATTTAACAGACAAATTTATTTCATGACTATTTCCACTGACTGTAAAACTCCTATGGCTATTAATTTATATTAAATGTTGCCAAACAAGCTTACAATGCAACTGTACCTGCATAACCTATTGCAGTTGCGTGTAAGTTTTTATTTGAATGGGCAGTGTACTGTTTTTATTTCAGTATAATTTCTCTCTGTGTGTCTATTTCACTCTGAAAAGGCTTTGTTTTKTGAAAGTCATTTCATTGAAAGTTGTATTTTTTTTAGATTTGGGAATATGTTGCTTGTAATTCTACAAAAGTGAACTGCAACACTAGAAAACAAGGTAATTAATTTGTTGTTTTTAAAGGAAGAATAGACTGAGGTTAATGTGAATGAAGTTGCTTAGTAGAAAGGGAGAAGATGTGTATTTCATAGTGGAAAGGCAAAACTGTTCAGTTGAGCTGAATTTAAAATTAGTCTGTTCAGAATAGTTCTCTTACCTGTTTTGCAAATTAAAAATTCATCTAGACTTTATCGGGTAGTTGCCAGATGGCTTTAACTGGAGGACAAGCCTTGATTGCAAACAGGAGCTTAATTTTAATGCTCCTTGCTTTATGAAGGATAAGGCTGTGCAGTCAATACATTCTTTGAATGAGTGCAAGCTTGACAAAAATTCTGTAACTGGATCAAAGTTCCTTGTATATGACAGGAATCTGGCAACACTGCATGTAATCTATTATTTGGGAAGACAAAACACTGAAGAACTGGCGAAGGCATAAAAATAATACCATAAATGCATATGTGACTGTCTCAGCAGAATTTTGCTAAGAACAACACAAATTTGAACATAAATTTMGCTCTACAGCTAGGACTAATGTGGGCAGTAACAACAAAGCTGAATTTAAAAAACATTTGCAAGTCTCTGG